CCTGTTACCGTTCCTACTATACTATAGTCATATTCTACTTTTATTTTGCGGTTTTGACCTTAAAATACTATGAGTTTATTTGGGGCAGCTGTAATTGTTTGAAGAAGCAGTTGTGCAACAATCGTAGAAGAATCTGCTACTAGGAAGCTACCGTGGATGAAGTTGTGTTTGTTTGGTTAGTTCAATTGTGTAGCAGTTGTTTCTGAAATAAAGACCATATCCCCTTTCAATTTATATAATATATGTAAGCTAACAATTTCAGAATTAGCACATACATAATAACATAAATAAAATTAAAAAATTATTAAAAAGTCATGCCATGACCTGGCCCGAGAGTTTGAAATTACCAAGGCGAGGGACAAGAAAAGAAATAATAACACATACATATGACTTTTTAATAATTTCATAATTGACTCAAACATAATATCCATAATACACAAACAAAGGTAATATCTTTACTCTTGAGCTGCTTAAGATTGTGATCTATGATTCTTTCTGGTTCTTCAATAAAAGTCAGATCAGGCTTAATGTCTATAGGGTCTGTAATAAGTTTTCTAGCCTCGTCAACAATATACTTCCATAGTAAGGAGATAGGAAACACATGATGTACCCAATACATGTGCTGGCAGTAAAAACATGCAAGTACATTCCCAATCTTCTCTATAATTTTATTCGGACCAACCTATCGTGGACTCAACTTCTTAGACTTTTCAAAATGCTTAACACCTCTCATCAGGCTAACTTTCAATAAAAAAACAATTTCTCATGCATTAAATTCAACTGGTCCATTCTTAACATCATAATATTTCATCTTCCTATCGTAAAATTCTCGTAATTTATTATGAATCAATCAGATCTTCTCAGTATTTTCATGAACTAAATCGACACTAATTATTTTTCTTTCACCAGTTTTTGCCCAACAAAGAGGTTTCTTTTTTCTTCCATATAATGCTTCATAAGGAGCCATACCAATACTAATTTAGAAGCTATTCTTATAGGAAAATTATATCAGAGGTGTGCATTTTATTCCATTATTTTCCTTTCGCCAATTTTTGCCCAAGAAAAATGGTTGCATTTTCTTTCATATATGGCTTCATAAGGAGGAGCTATACCAATATTAATTTGGAAGCTATTATTATAGGCAAATTCTATGAGAGGTATATGCATTTCTCGACTTCCACCAAAATCATACACATAAAGTCTAAGCATGTCTTTTAAAAGTTGGATCGTTCTTTCTAATTGGCCGTTTGTTTGGGGATGAAAAACTATATAGAATATTAGTTGAGTACCCAATGCCTCTTAAAATTTCCTCCATAGTTTGACTTTGGAACTTCATGCAGTCACATAATTACATCAACATAAATTTTTGCGAACTTGTACAGAATTTATTTATCTAATAGGCAAGAAATATACAGACTTGTTTTGATGATTAATAATCACCCAGGTAGCATCACAACTCTGCTTTGATCTAGGCACCCAATCACAAAATCTGTAGCAATTTCCTCCCATTTTTACTCAGGTATATGCAATGGTTACAACAATCCACTTGGCTTCGGATGTTCTCCCTTAACCATTTGATAAGTGAGACACTTTGTCATGAACTTTGCTACATCGTGCTTTAATCATAACTACCAAAATAAGCCTTTAAACTTCCGATACATCTTGTTGCTTTCTAGATATATCATTTTTTTCTGAATAATGTGCCTCATTTAGGAATTTTTTTCCATAAATCAATCTCATGAAGAATATAAATTCTATTCTTATAGCTCAACAACTTTTTTTCATCGATCTCGTATTTCTCCATCTAACCTGCATTCACTTGGTCTAAATTTTTTTGAAACTCTACATCTTGTGACAATGCATCTTGTAATCTGTCCTTTAGAGTTGATTGAATTAACATTAGATTCTATAGTGCAAAATTTTTTTCATTTGGTGCAACTACAGATAACTGCAAACATTTCATATCATTTAGTACTTCTTGCTATGTAATTACGTAGTTAGCATTGTTACTCGCCTTTATGCTTCACGCTTCTGTCACAACATTTGTATTTCCTCGGTGTATTTTACATCCAAATTATAATCTTTAATGAGTTCAGGCCATCTCTTTTGTTTTATATTCAGCTTTCTCTGTGTGAAAATATACTTCAAGCTTTGGTAATCAGTTAATACTTCACACTTGGTACCATACAAATAATGCCTCCATATCTTCAACATAAATACAACTGTTGTTAGCTCTAGATCATGTGTCAGATTATTCATCTCATGAGTTTTCAGTTGTCTAGAGGCATAATCAATTACCTTCCCATTTTGCACAAGGACACACCCAAGTCTCCTTAAAGTTGCATCACTATAGATCTAGAAGTTTTCGTCAATATTGGAGCTATTATGAATCACATTTTCATCTTATGAAATATTTTCTCACAACGATCCGTCCATTCAAATTTCACTGTCTATTGAGTCAATTTGGATAAAGGCATTACAATTTGTGAGAACCCTCGACAAATCTTCTATAATAGCGCACCATACTTAGGAAACTACAAACTTCTGTAATAATAGTTGGTCTAGGCCAATCAACTATCGCTTTAACCTTATTCCGATCTACTATGATACCTTCACTGTTGATCATAGGCCTCAAGAATGTTATGCTCCTCAATCAGAAGTCACACTTTGATAACTTGACATATAATTGGTTCTACTTCAATGTGCGCTAAATTATATGAAGATCTGCATGATGACCTTCATCACGGGAATATGTTAGAATATCATCGATGAATACAATTACGAATCTATCTAGAAATGGTTTAAAGATTCTATTCATCAAGTTCATAAAGACTTCAGGTGCATTTGACAACCCAAAAGACATTACCACAAAAGCATAATCCTCGTATCTGGTGTTGAAAGTTGTCTTTGCTGTGTCAAATTCTTTAATTATTAGCTAATAATAACCTGATCGTAGATCAAGGCTTGAAAATATATATGCTCCTTCCAATTGATCAAAGAGATCATCAATACTTAACAGTTAAGTATATGTTCTTGATTGTGAACTTTTTTAAGTCTGAATAATCAATGCATATTTTTAAGCTCCCATCTTTATTCTTAACAAAAGCATTGGAGTTCCCCATGGGGAAGTATTTGGCCTGATAATTCCTTCTTTAATAAGTCCTGCAGTTGGCTCTTTAATTCTTTTAGCTCCTTTATTGTCATCCTATAAGGTGCCTTTGCTACTGGTTCTGCACCTAGTATTAAATTGATAGAGAAATCTTTCTTCTTAAAGGCAAACCTTACAAATCATTTACGAATACTTGTAGATACTCTTTTACTATTGATATATCCTCCAACTTCTTGGGTTTTTTTGTTATATCACCGATTTTAGCTAGAAAATCTTGGTATAATTTTGCTAACATTTTACATGCTTTTAAACTGGACATCATCATAGAAAAGACTTCTATTTCCCACATTTGAATTCTTCATCTCAAGGGATATTGAATTTGATTATCTTCTCAGATCAATCAATGATTGTGAAGTGATTAAATAATCAATCCATCCCTAAGATCACTTAAAATTTTATTAGTGGTAATACTACCAAGTTCTTTTGGAAGCTTTTATCATAGATGGTCAGATTCACATAACTTCTATCAATTATAATATGAGATCCATTAGGCAGAAGGACTAATATAATATCAAGCATCTTGAATAATTCTAATAGTTCAGATATCACAAACTCTTCAGAGATAAATGAATGTGATGCCCCAATATTAAATAAAATTTTGATCAGTTTGTTTTGAATAGATATAAAATTTATAATAAGGTGAATATAAAAGTTTTGAAATAAATTAAGATTTGACAGATCTCTTGAATTAAAGAAGTACATATAATGATGCCAGATGAATCCTTTGCTTTCTGTTGAGTCAGTGCATATACTCTAGGCTGTACACCCTGGCAGGTCTGACTCAGAGCTAAAGCTGAAGCTGATCTTGACGAATCAGCTGGTTTCTTTCTGACAAAAGTCCTCTGAGAATGTGGAGCACTAGCTCTTATTTTTGCATGAGGCCTCTGACTCCTGACAGAACACAATCTTGCTAGATGTCCTGGTCGATGATCCCAAAAATAGGTATTGGTGTCTGACAAACATTTTTCCTGTGTGCACTTCCATATTTGACACATGCCATGACACTGCCGCTGCGTCCGATACCGCTACCACGGCTATTGGATCTAGATTCCTTCATGTCAAAATGCCTAAATTGGTTAAAATTAGTGGTCTGTCCTGACTTGGACCTATCATCTCCTCTTCTCTTTGGAAAATATTTGTGTTTCTGCGTAGCCAGCAGATCAATCTCTATCACACTCGCTCTCTCAATCAGAATTGAGTAATCCTCAATGCTCAATGGGATTAGAGGCTGTCGAATGACATCCTTCAATCCAAATAGAAAACAGTGACACTATGAGCGTAGAGACGTGGATGATCGATGAGATCAAGACCGCAATCATGTGCGAGGAACAACGCCTAACCGAGGAAGCATGCGTGGCTCTGATATCATGCGAGGAAAACTTCATTTCTTTTTTATTCCCTAATTGAAATCATATGTTACATACTTACAAACACTCTTCTATTCACAGATTAGGAATATATGTAAATAGAAAAAATCTTAAGTTAAATCTCTTCTAATTAGGTTACCTAATATACCAAGTTTTCTATTTAGTATTTTCTAGAACAAGAGGGGTGGTAGGAGCTGCACGTATTTGTAACAAGTTAGTGCAAAGTAGATTTGTGGTTTAAGAAAGCACATAAATGTTAGAAGTTCTATCATTAAGGCTGGTATATATAATTAATGCGGAATGATTTGAAGAGAAAATGATTAGGCTAGTGGTAACATGATTAGCTGTCCAAAACGACTTGTGCAAGTTAGGGATAAGCACGTCATATAGCAGTCAATGTAGCTGATTTATAGTTGGTGTTGATAGTAGTTTTCATTGATCAAAATTTACTTTTTTTTTTGCAGAAAAGGGAGATATTTCAGGATTTAGCTCCTTTATTATGGAATTCATTTGGTACCATTGCAGCGCTCCTCCAGGTGCGTCTTTTCTATTATGGTGTTATTTGCACTTTTAAGTTCTATCAGGGAAGTCTATTGGTTGCAAGGGTATTTAAAGTTTGCCATTCTTATCCTATTTTGTGTGTTTGTGTATTCCGATTAAGGTGAAAATAATAGAATTTTAAGATTCAAGCTGTGTCACCCAAACTCTCAGACTAAAATTTTATTACACTACTAATTTCAGACATCATTTTTTTAAGACCCTAACAGATTTACTGTGTAAATTCGTTTATGTTGTTATTGTTTTGCATGCTGCCAATAATAAAATTGTTGGGTGCTTTACGAAATTTAATAGGGAAATTTACATACATGCCATACAATTCTTATGTATTTACATATCTAACACCTAAGCTTTCTTATTTGCCTTTATACCACTTTAGTTTCATGAAGCTATGCATGAAAGATGTATTTCACTTTTAAAAAGTAAGTAATAATGTTATTTTTTATGTAATGTTGAAGATTTGAGTGTTATGCCTGTAAATATGAAAGTTTAGATGTTAGATATATAAATACATAAGAATTGTGTGGTATATGTAAATGCCTCAATTTAATATTAAGGGGATGTACTAAGGCACAATGGCGGGTCTCTTCATACATGAGGTGCATTAATCGTTCAAATTTTCCAATTCCACCTTAGAGGGTTATATCTGAAAGCTTTTTTATAATTTTTTAATTCATTGCATGACATGTGCAAAAGAACTTGCCATGTCTGGTTGTTGATGATTGTTTGTACATGCTCTGTACTAGGAACAAATTAGAAAAGCAAAAAGTTGCCATTTTATAGGTTTATAGTATTGAAAAAATTCAGGCAAAGCTTTCTTTTTGGAAAGAAAATTCCTGTCTTAAGGTGATTTGCACACAATTCTTATGTATTTACATATCTGGCACCCACACTATCATATTTACACGCATAACACTCAAATCACTAGTATCACATAAAAAATAGTACTAATACACCTTTTCATGCATAGGTTTAAAGCATCAAAGTGTTGTGTATGTAAATATGGAAGTTTATGTGTGAGATTTGTAAATACATAAGAATTGTGTGCTATGTATGTAAATTTCCCCTGTTCTTGTTAATTTGTCTTTAAACCTTTATCTTATTTCTCTTTGTTTTGGATTCCCAATTGTCATAAAAAAAGATCAATCCTTTTAAAAGAAACTTCTTTTAGAATGGAGTTGAGGGTTGCAATGGTTTTTATCTTATCAAATGGAAGATTTTTTTTCTTACCCAAAGTTAAGGAAGGCATTGTGCGCCATTGCTTAGGGTTCAGATAGGCATCATGCAGCAAAGCTGTCTTCCGCTTTGTTCTTTATCCGTGCTACACTTTTTTTGCTCAGCTGAACAATATAGTTCTATGCGTGATAACTTCTATTTGTAATGAAAAAAGATTTAACAGCTGATGGATATGTTCATTAATAGAATGCCTGAACACAACATAAAAGTACTTCAATTTGTTGACTATAGATTCATTTGAAAATTTCTTGATCCAATTAATATCATCTTTTGTTATCTTCAGGAAATAGTATCAATATATCCTGCACTTTCACCACCTACATTGACTCCTGGCGCATCAAATAGGGTTTGCAATGCACTTGCTCTTCTTCAGGTTAGCTTTTTGGTTATGTTTGTTGCTTGAACTTGTTTTTGTTTATTTCAACAAGATATTTTCATAAATACAGGAAATGGTTATTTTCATTTTTGTCATTTGGACGTGATTATTAAGAATTATTTTCTTTGCATGTGCTCTGTTCTTAGGGTGCATTAGGTTTTTTTTTGGTACCTTAATGTATTATTTTAAACTGTTTATGTTGTGTCTATGCTTAACATTCATAGCAACGAGTTCTTTTATCTGCATGTTGTTGTAATGAATTATTTTTAATCCCTTCGTGGATGTGATATGCTTACTAGTCTTGTGTGCTCTAATGATATGGAGGTATTTCCTACGTTTATTTTTTAAATAACTGCATACACATTTTAATTATTTTATACCTTGCACATGTTCTCATATATCATATGGTTCTTTAATGTTATTGTGTGTGTAACTGTTGAAATTTAGGAAGGTCCCGACCTCTTTTTCATGGTGGGCCGGCCAGCCACCTAAAGTATATTGAAGGATTTAATTGGAGACAACTTTGAATACTCCTTAATTAGTTTTACTCTCTTCCTATTTATGCTTTTTAATGTTTATTTTGGAATTATTTCCTTTCCACATTCAGATTAGATATATTCGCTAAGATTGTAAGTTAGGAGGAACCGTTTTTTCTATATTTGTACCTTATGTGTGAATAATGAAAGGAAGCAAGTCGTTTTTTTTCCCAAAATTTGTTTTTTGACATGGTATCAAAGCTTGCCTTCATCTTGTGACTGAATTAGGGCATTGTTTGTTGTTTAGTTCATCTGTGACACTTCTATTCACCTTGATCGGATCGTCTACTTCGCACAAACTCGTCCGATTCATTTTCGATGTTCGGCGACTACATCGTAAGACACCTCGTCAGATGCTATTTCAATGATCGGCGACTGCGTCGTGAGCCGTCCGACTGCTTCATCTGTGGTTTTGTTCAACTTCATCAACAATCGATCAACTTCGCCATCTTCATCAGCAGGTAATAGTCTTCGTCTGCTCGCTCCCCCAACTTTTCAAAGAAACCCCCTCCAACTGCCTCTAGAATTGTCCCTGCTACTGGAATCCTCCCCGCCGTAGGTCCTCCTCCGCTGGGCTCTCCCTGTAGCGCTCTGTTGTGCAGTCGGAATCCTCCCAGCTGCAGGCCCTCCTCTGCCGGAACCCTCCCAAGTTCTCTACAACAACCAATTCTTTCCTTGCAGCAACAACAACCACTTGCTTCCTACAAAAAGCAACAAGCAACAACCCTAAACACAAATATGGTTTATGACCAATACGTCATGTTTTGTTCCAGAGGTTAATTCTAAATAAGAGATAATGAATTTTGTCCAAATAGCTTCTGAACTCTCTACCTTTATCATATATTATAAACTTAATGGTCATAACTTCCTTTATTAGTCCCAATTCGTGTTATATAAATTTGTGGAAAAAGAAAAGAGGAACATTTCACGGGAGAGCACAATTCCTGAACTCACTAATCCTAGCCACCTCACACGGAAGATTCAAGACCATATGATTATATCTTGGCTAGTCAAATCAATGATTACTGAAGTATAAGAAATTTATTTGCTCTACAAAACAACTAAAGAAATCTTGGAGGCTGCAAGCACTACAGGAGTTTAACATCTTTGCGTTCGACCTATCAGACTCATATTAGATGCAAATTCGAAGTGTTACCATCATATTTGTGTCCGGTTTTTTCCTACGTTAATTCGGGGGTCGGTAATATTATTTCCATCAAATGTACGTCAAAATTTTTTGACACATAATTTGCTTCGATTTTTGTGTCGTATTAGCATCAAATTTGTTTATACAAAATGTGGGTCGAAATTTGTGTAAAAAATTATCAGACGATAAATATTAACATCAAGTTATCATCTCTTTTGCATCTGAAAATATCGTAAAAAGATGAAATATTATTGTTGATTTAGTGCGGATTTTGCACAAAAAAATGGACGCAAATCCGATGCAAATTTGTAAAACAAAAAAAAAAAATATATTACATTTTTCAGAACCTGCACAAAATCATTACAGCCACCTACTTGACAAGTTTGGCTGTGAGGAGCTCAGAGAACTAAGAACGGGACCACGAGAGAGCTTGGCCTCGAAGGCTATACCCTCTCGCTCCAAGGCCATAAACCTTCCCTTCTTCCTCCCTACTGCCTGGGTCCAGGGCTCGTACTCGTACTGCGTCGTGGTAGACTGACTACCACTGCTGCTGTTGAAAGTCTGGACCTGAGAGGCCAAGTGTCTCTCTCAGAGCTGCTCGAACTCCTATATAATGAAAATCAACGTGTAATTGACACTTTCAACAGTTAGAGTTAAAATAAACTTTTAATTTATGGTTTTTAATTTACAACAACTCGCCAAGAATGCTCTGAGACCTACTGCGCAACCCCCAGGCGCCGATGAGTACGACATGCAGCTCCACAACGGAGGGAACACGACTCAAATCCTTGGTCTGTGTAGTGTACAAAAATGGTTAACGCTAAAAAAATACTCCAAAATTTGAATTAATTTTTAAATATCTAAAAAAACTTACCAACCTCATGTAGCATTTAGTATGGGGGACCGATCTGCCAATATGAAGTGCAGCTCCCTGACCCCCTCCGTCGCTCGGTTTTTCTCCCTCTCATAATCAGGAGAAGCCTAAGCTGCGGTCAACTGACCCCAGAGCCCCTCCCCAATTTAGGCAGGTCGCTCGACCTCTCTGGTGGGCTGTCGTGAACATGTCAATATGGCGATCCCTGCTCCGAATCTTGAAGATTCAACTGATCTGCTGGTGATGTTCTGGGAGCCAGGTGAAGGGCCTCTGCAATGTAAAAAATAATTCATATGTTAGTGTAAAAAATTAAATTAAATCAATCTTATAAATTTGATTCAAATTGCATGATCGTACCTCAAACTCCCTAAACCATATGTTCCGAGTGGCTATAGGTATTTGCTTCCACGAAAGATAGGGCTTATTGTACCTGCTCCTGATAATCTATATGATGCAGGTGATGAGCAACTTGTGGGGAATAAATCTGTTTAAGAAACAAAGTAGATATAAAAAAACATAACATGAAGAATAAATATAATACAATGTTAAAAATAACTTACGAGTCCCCCTCTGGCTGTAACTATACCATCGGGGGGAAGGGGTAGGAGTCGACGAGCCAGACTCAAAGCTGTGCCAGCAGTAGATGGCGGAGTAGGTGCGGAAGCAACAAATGTCACTGGAGATGGGGCACCATCGATTGCGGGAGCAGGTGCCACAGGAGGGGTGGCGGTAAGGGGAGCAGAAGGAGTTGTCGCAAGAGGTGTAGTAGCAATCGATGGGAAGGAGGCGCACGTGAGATGTAGCACCAGCAGGCGGGGGAGGTGCCAGAGGAAGTGCAGAAGTAGTGGAAACATTTACAGGAGTAGATGACATTCTTTTTTTTTTCCACGGTAAGTGGTCTCAAGAGTCCCCAGAGTACAGATTTTATGAGGTAGCTCACCACCTGTATCACTTGTGGCCATCTGCAACAAAAGAATGACATTAAAAATATTACTACTGACGGGAAAAATGATCATAAACAGAAAGAAATGGTGCAGTAAAGGTAAGACGCAAGTACCATCTATGTCTAAAAATAGGAAAAAAAAATGCTATTCAGGGAAGGTGATTGACAGTGCTGAAATACATCAAAGTTTATACTTTGTGAAAAATCTCTCTAAACACAAGTGACCTCACCTCCACCTTTTTCTCAAACCTCTGAATTTGTTAAGTTTATATCTGTCGAAAAATAAATCATATTATTTCATTGTTTCCTGTATAATTCTAATTTTAATTATGTTGCAAAGTTGTATTCTCATTCATTTATCAATAAAAAATTTAGTTCTTATTAATATGAGATTTGTCAACTTGCTAAACACATGAGAAATGTTTTTCCCTTGATCCAATACAAATACTCACACTCTTTTTCTATTATCCACAGTTATATTTGGGGGCCTTTAAAAGTAAGAATCCTAAGTGGGGCTTGTTGATTTGTCTCATTTATTAATGATCACACTAGAACTATTTTGGTATTCCTAATGAATGAGTAGTTTGAAACAACTCAAATCTTCCAAATCTTTCATGACATGATTCAAACTCAATTCAAATACAAAATTCAGATTCTGATAAAGCAAATAAATATTTCAACTCCATTCTTAGATCCCATCTTTCAGAAAATAGAATCATTCATGTGAGTTTATCTATTGATATCACACAACAACAACAATAACAAAAGCTTTATCCTACTAAGTGGGGTAAAAATGAGATAACCGAGAGAAAAATCGACATTTTCTTGAGATATCCCGCTCAATTATGATTTCTCAAGTCAAAATATTTTTTGAGGGAAGCATTTCTTACTGCAACATGCATTATTAATCAAATGCCTCGCCATGTACTTAATTTCAAAACTCCACTTTATGTCTTGATGGATACCTATCCCCATAAAGGAGCTTTCTCTTATACTGGAAAAAAAAAAATTGGTTATGTATCCTTTGTTCACATTTATTTCCCGAAGCACACAAAACTTGACTCTAAAACTATCAAATGCATTTACCTTATGTATTTCTCCAACAAAAAGAGCTATAAGTGCTACTCACTTCTTACCATAAAATACTACAATTGAATGAATGTTATATCTTTTAAAAGTCAACTATACTATCCCAAATTTGATGTTCATGGGGATAGTGCAAATGAATATAAATTTTAGGATGCACTTGATGACACCTACATTGCTTAACAACCTAGTTCTCTTCTACCCAACCCTTTTGTCCTTGTTGAGGATGCCCATAACTAAGAAATTTGTGTGTAAACAAGGAAGAAAAATCTTGAGCAGGTGGTAGACAACTTGCAAAGACATAACTATTCAAACCAAAACTTGAGTGTGCTCTCATCTGAAATTTTGGGTGAGGAGCCTAGTACTCATTAGTATCCTCTTCTTCTTGTTTTTGTTCGTATGATAAGAAAA